AATGTTCCTGTGAAAACAGCAAAAGGTAGCCCCAGTCCTTGGATTCCTGCCACCCACATGGGAGACACAGATGGAATTCCAGGTTCCTGACTTTGCCTTGCCAAGGAGCTGACCAGTGTGACTATTTGGGGACTCATCCAGGATAGAAGATCCGTTCCCCTTCTCTCCCCACCCTGGTATAAATTGGCCTTTCAAATAAAATATAAAGTGTTTACCAAAAAAAAAAAAAAGTCTGTATGGTTTCTTCAAGACGCTATCCCTGATTTCACTGAGAAAAATCACTGATAGTGTGTGCTAGAACGGACTTTAGAGCTAACTGGTCACATTGAACTTTCTGCCTACCCCTGCTTTTCAGATGAGGAAACTTGAAGACCAAACATGTTAAGCGGTTTGCCATGCTGTGAGTTGAGTGGTAGAACCTTAATCTCAGGCCAGCTTTCATGACTTCCTTTGCAAAGTCATGTTCCACTTTGTCCTTGAATCCTAACCACATCGCCCCCACCCCGCCACCCCCACCAAAAGGATAAAGTGTGGCATCCTAATCATAAACTGACATCTGTGTTTAGAATAATTTTCTCCTGCACTTATTTTACTTCAACATCCATGTCCTAATGGTTCTTGTGGAAAGAGTCATTTCTAATATTTCTGCCCCCTTTCCTTGCTTCTTTAGGACACCTAACAGGGATACTTGCAACCCACACTGGCAGTTGATGCATCTTATCTGTGGAGTTCTTTACTCCCCGCCCACAAATATAAAAATAGAACCAGTGAAACAAATGCAGTTGGGTGGAGTGTAGCATATACATATTCAAAAATGCTCTTCTAAGTAGGTAGCTCCTATAGTGAGCTTGGTTGCAGACAGCTAACCATTAGGTGGGAGAGAAAAAGAGGAGGGGAGGGGGAGAAAAAGAGAGAGAGAGAATGAATGAATCTGTAAAATTGCTGGAGTCTTCTCTGCTCCTCTTACAAATGCATGAAAGAAAAGGCCATTAAAGCAGGCTTCCTACTGTGCTACAGAGAGGATTTCACAGCCCCTGTCTGACAACACCCCCAGCCCTGGTACAGTGCTGTGCTCTGCCTCCCTCAGCTGGGAGTTGAATGCCACAAGTTCTAAATGTCTGTTCCACCACTAATTATCTCTGTGACCTAAGACTTGACACTTAATCTCACTGGACTGGTGTGTTCTCTTCTATAAATGGTTAGGGGGGAGGGAGTGTGCAATGGAAGACCAGACTTGCTCACCTCACACATTTGTTGTGAGGCTCAAGTGAGATAATATATGTGAAAGTACTTCAAAAATCCGAAGACATGATATGAATGCAAGATATTAACTTTTAAACTCCCCAATCCCTTATCAAGTAAATCCTAGGAGACCTGAGTGAGTGAAGGCTAATGGGTTTGCATTTTAATCCCATCTAAATTAATTACATCCTCTTCCTTCTTCCTATATGCTGTTCATCACATCTCCCCATTTTGTTTAGCAGATTGTTACATGGGTTGATGCATTGGCTTTGTACCTTACTGAAGTGAGAGATAAGGGGTGGTTTGATGACTGCTGAGACTTTGGAGAGGCACTTCTCAAATTTGTCTAAAATGGAGGACTTTAGGAATTTAATTTATTGGTCAAAGAGGATAGGATTTCCATTCTAGTATCACAGTCTCTCTCTCTCTCTCTGTCTTCCCTTTTTTCTCTCATTCTTTAAAGAAAAGGAACCAAAAAAAGAAAAAAGAAAGAAAGTAGAAAAGACATTTAGTTTTGCTATATGTCTCTACTTTTTTGGAAGTCCCAGTAAGTCAGAAATTAAAAAATCTCCATGATGACTTGAATGTATTTGTGTGTGTGTGGGGGGGTGTCATCAGGGTAAATGCTGGCAAAATGGTAATGCATCTCACTCTCAAAAGATATGAACTCACTGTACTGATGCACCCTTCACCCAGCCCCAGGTAACTTACATAACATATTCTAAAGCCCCAGGCGAAGGACCATGTTTGCCACGTGATATCGAGACTCGTGTCCACTCAAGCCTCTGTGGAGATGCTTACCATTTCTCATAAAACTAGTTGAAGAAATTCTTACGTAGCTCCTGACCTTTTTATCAGCATTGTTCAATTAGAAAAGAGCCTCTTAGGAGATCATTAATCATATGAAATATAAAATGCTGCTAATAGCAATGCAAAATGAAAAAAGAAAAAGACACTCTAACCAGTAACCTGCAATGAATCATCCATTTAACAACATTTTTTGAATACTTACTGTGGTCTCAGCCCTGTGGTTTAAGGTTTTGACGAAAAGACACAAGAATCTATGTAAAGTGTTTTCTGTTAAACCAATAGGTTAAGGGAGAGAGAGAGGTATTAATTAGTTATTGCAAAGTGGTCTTGCTGGAGTAAGCACCAATTGGCCAGTCTCATCAATCTTCCACCACTAGCACCCACCATGAATGAAAGCATGATATTTCAATACTGAACTGAGAAGACAGTGAAAGGGGGAAAAAAAATCTTTTACCGTGGCATAAAGTAACAAAACAGCTTGCAATGTGTTGAGAAATAATTTAAACCTCCCCAAACTAATTATAATTAAGCTCAAGCAGTGTATCTGTAGCAATCCACAAAAGCCACACATAAGCAACTTCAGACTGACCTGGAAGTAAGGGCTTATCTCATAGATTTTGCACATACTGTGATCGAGCATAGAATTACAGACATGAGTTTTGATGTAAATCAATAGTTCCAATTTGTCCCCTGGTGGTGTCCTTTTCGGCAACCCAATGTCTATGCTCAGCTTCCAGCCCTTCTAACTATATGTCAGGGTTTAGTGCAAAGTAAGATTTTAACATGGGATATTGACACCCCACCCCTCTTTTTGGGACAATTTCTCCAAAATGAGAAAGTCTGAGAAGTGAGCTCCAAGTCTGCACTTACTGGTTGATCAGATCTGGCACCTGTATTCCTTAGTCCTGAACTCTTAGGGTTAAAAGCCAATTGGGTGTTTGAGTGTGCAATAGGAGAAAGGAGAAACTGTCTACTGGAGGCTCCAACCTTTTAATACTCCTAAAGCTTTTTTTCCAGGTCAGCAAGGTAAGGCTCACCACCTCTCGGGCTTCCTCATGTCCATTGTGTAAGACTGGTCCCTGTACTAGTTTAGTAGCTGCCACGCCTGTGAACACATTTCAGAAAGGGTGGGCTTGGGTTTCAATGCTACAGCAAGGATCTGTGATTTGTAGATGCCATCAGAGATTCTGATCTTTGGCAGAGGGTAGGAGTGAGATGGTGATACTAGGAGGGAGAAGGTGTTCTATGGTGTTTTTATTTTTGTTGTTGTTTTCTTTTCCTGCTGGGATGTAGGGTAGGAAGAGGGAAATGCCTAGGTCTCTAAAACATCATGGACAGGCCACTGTAAGTTGGCAAAAGGAGAGGAACTAGTAGGGCATAATGGTCTGGGAAGAGAGATGGGGGGTTGGCACTGCAGAAAGCAGGCTGACATACACAACTGCAGCACGGTGTGTGGGAGATAAATTCACTTGTGATCTTTCAAATCAGGCCGGCCAGTGTGCCTCCAGACTGGCCACCTGCGCCTTCCCTCTCCCCAGCAGTGGCTTAGTGGCTTAATGGGTGGGCTCCTCAAATTTGCATTGCAATGGGCACTAAATGAGCTCCTAAAAGTCTTAGTTAGAGCAGACTTTTTTTTTTTCTGTGTGTTTGAAATCTCCCAGTCGCTGTTGAATTTTTTCCCAAAGCATCATATCACAAATTTTGAGGGGGTGGGGGGGTGAGGGGAAAATTGCATGTGGCGGTGATTTTTCGCTAACCCAACCACCCCGTGTCCGACCCCACCCGCCCCCGAAACAACCAGTCCCCCAACAAGTTCAGCAAAAAAGTCCTGCCAATGCCTGGGAAGTAGAGCTAAACTGAAAAAAAGAAGGGGGAAAAAAAAGGCCAGCTTTCCCTGGCCAAGGCGAGCTGGACTGACGCGCAGAGAGCCGCAGTTCCCGGAGCAGCTTCAGCTTGCTGGCGCGCAGTCCAGCTGCCACTGCCCCGGCTCTCTCGCTTTGCTCTCCCGCCACATCTGCAGGCTGCGCAAAGCCGGACTCCGGTAATCTCCAGTCATAAACCTTTGCCCAAGCAGACATCCCAACCCCATACCCAATGGCCAAATCGTCAGATTTGGCTAAGCACAGAAATGAGAAAACAAAACTGAGGGGGTGGGAGCGCATTTTAAAAATTTTAATTCAATCCAAAGGCGATTTCAGCAACCACCCCCTCCCCATGCAGGTTGTTTTCCCAAGGCAGAAAACTGGAGGACTTGACAGTTGAGACCTGCAAAGCGAGGTGGGGGTGGGGGAATAGAAAGAAAGGGGGTGACAAGAATTTGTCCCGAGGTTGGGCTCACCTGCTGCTGAGGTGAGGTGACAGAATAGACACAAGAAGGAGGCTGTTCTGAGTTGTAGCTCATGGCTCGGTATTCAGGAACCTTGCAAAGATCCTCAACTTCGCCTCGGGAATTTTTTGTTAGGTTTATTATTATTATTATTATTATTATTATTAGGCTTTTTGCCCATTCTTGTCACCAAAGGGTTAAACGCAGCCGGGCTCCAATCCCTCCCCCCCTTCTCACCGCTACCCCACCCCCAGCCATTAGTTTCCATTCCCCCTACCCGGTTTGTCTTCCCCCTCCCTCTTCCCCCCACCTCCCCGCGTCGCTAGGAGGTCATCAAGCGCTCTGCCCAGTCCGCTTTCCGCAAGCCCCCTCTGCTTCCCGCCCATTCGGGCTCGTGGCTGCTTACGAAGAGGTGCGCGCTCACCGAGGGGCGTGTTCCAGCGCTCTGAGATGCTGAGCGCCCCCCACTAGTCCTCAGAGCCGAGCGAACCATGGAGCCAGCTGGGGCAAAGTTTGGCAGTCTGCAAGGGGCTGCCAGGCGGCAGTGGGCGGGGCCCCCGAAGGCTTTTTAGCGCTCCCAGCTCAGGGGCTCCAGTTGCCCGGACCCGAGGGGCCGGCGGTCATGCACCGCCCGGCTACCGCGGCCCCGGGCAGTGGCCCGCCGCAGGATGGAGAGCAGCCCGAGGAGTCTCCAGAGCCTCCGCCGCCGTGGCCGCCGCCACCGCCGGCTCCTCCGCCACCCCATGCACCTTCGCCAGAACCTGCCGCAGAGTCCTGTCCAGAGCCTGCTCCAGGACCCTGCCCGGACACGACTCCCCAATCTGCCACCCAGCTGGCCTCAGAGCTGGCCCCAGAACCTGACACCCAGCTGACCCCAGAGCTGGCCCCAGAACTTGCCACCCAGCTGGTCCCAGAGCTGGCCCCAGAATCTGCCACCCATCTGGTCCCAGAGCTGACTCCAGAACCTGTCACCCAGCAGGTCCCAGAGCTGGCCCCAGAATCTGTCACCCAGCCGGCCCCAGACCCCGTCTCCAAGCCGGCATCTGAACTGACCCCAGAACCTGCCATAGAACCTGCCTGGGACCTGGCTTCAGAACAAATCCTAAAGCCAATCCCAGCACTGGCTCCAGAGCGGGTCCCAGAACCTGCCACGCAGGGGGCCCCAGAGTCGACCCCAGCACCTGCCGTGGAGTCAGCCCCAGAGTCCTGTCCGAAGCCGAGTCCAGCACCAACACCAGCACCATGCTCGTTGCAGTGTCCGGTGGCTGTTCCAGAGAGAGGTCCAAGGACCTCGCCATTACCATCGCCCCGGACGCCAGTGTCATGGTCCCGAATAAAGGTAAGGAAAAATCCTCCTAGGGCAGGGAGAAGGAGCAAGGGGAGGCTGGATGGCTCTGGAGCTCACGAGCCTCAGGGTGTTCCTTGCATGCCCTTTGGGTACCACTAGCTGTTGAAGATGCTCAGAAAGATGCGGGAAGAAGATCTGGGGGAGTGGGAAGCGGTTGGGAGGCGGGAAGCAACATGTGGTAAGCGAGAGTTTGGGGCTAGAAACCGGGTAAAGGCAAGGGTGGGAGTCGGGGCAGATTTCCCCCACGAGCAGAAGTGGACAGTGCGGCAAGAGCCAAAATCTTGAAAAAGATGAGGAAGACACCTACGGGAAGCGCAAAAGACTCGGAGAAGTGACTGAGGCTGGCCGGACGGGGGAGGGGGTGTGGAGGAACACATTTGGATGGAACTGAGTGCGGGCGGTGGGACACATTCTTGGTCACTGCCGCAGAGGCCCGAGCCGCGGAGCCGCAGCCTGCTTGGCCCCCTCCTTGCGGCTGGGGAGGGGGCGCCTCAGCTTGGGGCAAAATTGGCGGCGCTCCAGGGAGGTGCCCGGTGCCCTCAACCCTGCTGCCTGGCTCTGGTACCAGCGGTGAGGATGAAGGGATGGGCAACGCCCGCGCGCACTGCAGGGGAAGGGCAAGGTCCGCCCGAGAGGAGGGGGAGAGCTTGTGTGTGTGGAAGCCACCATTCCATTTGTCTGCAGGATTTCCCAGCAGGTAGGTGCAACACAGAGATACTGTGAAGTGCCGCGTCACCAGCGGACAGCGCGCATCCCGCCCCGGGGCTAGTTGGAATAGTACACGAGCCCTAGCTTAGAGAAAAGAAAATAGGAGTCTGGATTTAAGAGCAGCATGTGAATGGGAATCCGGTCTAATAGCCCACAGGGAAACCGCCCAAGACATCGCACTCAGTCGGGGAAAAGGGGTGGCGGGGGGGTGGGTAATGAGTAGAGAATCTTCAGGAACCACGGGGAGGAGGGAGGAAGGTTTTCGGTATTTTCCTTGACACCCCGTTTGCTCTTCAGCTGGAGTGTCTCTCTTTCTTGCTTTCTCTGAGTTCCCCTTGCTTTTCCTTTCCCTTAAACTTTTCCCTAAACCGAACCGTGAAAGTCGTGATAATGCACCCATACACCTGCACATAGCTTCCTCTGCAGGAGCACACACACAGATATTACACCCAGAAGCAAATGACACAGAACACCAAAGACGCCTGCCCACCTACTGCCTGTCAGGGTGCAGGGATATGACTCCGAAACGCTGGCGTTGTGGTCCTCACACTTGTAGCATACAGAACGGGCAGGGTGGGGAGGGGCGGGGGTACCCATAGAGGTTGACAACACCAAATGGCAGGGCTGGTGGCTTCCTGAGCTCTGAATAGGGAGGTTTGAGTTTGCACAACATTTGAAATGGTGAATGACTACTAAAAAAGAAGCTAATAAGTTGCATGGGGTGGGGGAGGAGATGCTACAAGGGGGTGGGGTGGGTACAAGGAGAGAGGCTTCTAAATGAATAAATAGGATAAGGCACCTAGGAATGCAGCTAAACCTTTTTTTTTTTTTTAATCCAACACTGCTCTGAGACCGGTGGATCGTTCCCCTTCATGCAGGTGTCCTTCCCTGCAATAACCTCAAGAAGGAAAGGTTGGTGCCATTAGATGTAGGTGCCCATCCTAGGCACTAGAGTGTGGGTTCCAGTCTTTCTGAAAGAGTTCACATGAAGCCACTAAGAGGGAGATGAGCAGGAATCATCTGACCTGTGGCCATCTTGTGTGAAATTATGGGAACATGGCTGGGAAACTAACACCTGGGGGGCTTAATAACCAGAAAGTCATCTCCTTTGGCCTCTGGAAGGTTGACTGGAGGCAAAGATCCCCACCCCACAGCCAAATTAAACAAACAAACGAACAAAACCTACTAGTTTGATTAGAAAATGTCTGTAGCCAGATACATGAGAATCAAGGTGCCGGAAATCAGCTCACCCTTTTCCACGAAGTGTCCATTCAGACGTACTGGCTAGCTGAGCCACAGACATTTGACAAATGACATTTGCCTTAGGTAGAGCCAGCTAGACACTGTAGAATCCCTTATGTACAGAAAGAGATTAAGACCATTGACCCTTCCTCAAGAAGACCACTGCCCCTCCCTCAAGAAGGCTATGTAAATGAACTCACCCAGTGACTCTAAAGGATTTGGAAAGATGCAAATGCTCTGAAAGCTTGACCATTCTCCACCAGCTACAATGTCACCACTCAGCTGGTCTCTAGTGCAGTTGGGAACATCTGATCTTAAGTGATAAGACCATACTCTCCTGCTTCCCCTAGTCAAAAGCACCTGCAACCTGCTGACTAGCACTGTAACATTCAAGGAAAACTGATTGCCATCTTAGCTGAATGGCATTGTTCTCAAACACTGCCTCCTTGAGGCAGACATGGGGAAAAGCAACTACCTTCCTTCCCCATCACCCCCTCCGCCATCCACACACATGCACACACGTGTGCACACACACAACAAAGAGAACAAAATGCACATGTCATCATACAACAAAATCCTTCATAGCAAGTATGGATCTTACCCGCTAATTCAAAGGATTAAAGAAGCAAAACTGAGTGCCTAACTGTGAGTGCAAGTTTTTCCTGGATAATTTTGCAGTTAAAAAAAAAAAAAAAGAATCAGCATCTCCAACCTGTTGTCTGTTTGCTTTTTGGGTTTTACTAGCATTTCAGAAACCACTGGTTACAATTCTATGTCAAGAATGAGAAAAGGGGTTCATGTTTTCTTTCCAAATAGCCACAAGCAAGGGTAGCACGGTGTGTGAAGCAAACCTATTGCCTTCCTTTCTAAAATGTTTTGATTCCAGGAAATGAGCCACGGTCTCCCATCTAGTAGCAGCAAGCGTAAGTAAAGATGTGTGAATTGGTTCTTTAACAATGCTGTAACTCTCTTGGGGGGCATGGGGTTTACATAAAATGAATCACATTTCTTTCTCTCTCTGTTCTACTCAAAGAGAGGTAGTTTGTGTTTTTTCATTAGGTATTGATCAACTATGAAATTACAATCACAACGTACAAATGATTGATGCAAATCTGGGGAGAAACACAGCTTTATGTCTTTTATTTGAAAGATGGAAGCATTTGGGTATCCCTGCTGATAATTACACAGTAATGGCCATTATCCCTAAGCCATAACAGAACAGCTATTGTACACAAAGCTGATCATCTTTTTCTTACAAAAGAGCAAGCATTTATGCACCTTATGTCTGGTCAGTATTGCCTGAATAACTGTTAACTATTTCTGAGCATCTCAAAAAATGAAAGCTGTCTTTTTTGGTGCCTAACACAATGCATACTTCCTTTCCTGTGTTCAAAGAATACTTGCTAAAGACTGAACTGTATCAATTTCATTTTTTTTTAACAACATAGAGGCTACCACTATGAATGAACAAGCGTGTGCTCTCATTGGTTTCAGAGTGAGAAATAAATGCTTATTTAAGTAGCCTGGAATATATAGTCCTCAAGGAAGTCAATCTTTCCAGTTTCAGAATGGACATTTAGAACCACAATTAAAAAGCAAATTACTAACAAATTTTTTTTTAAATGGCTTGGAAAGTGTCCTTACCTCATGCAGTGCCTGCAGCAGCCATGTAATGATGATGTGGGTTGCTTTCAGAGGTAATAAATTGTTTTCCTAAGTGAGCAGAATATCTGCAGTGACTGTAAGCAGCTCTGGGAATATAGATTCTAACGTTTAACCTGTTGAAGGTCAGAAGGAAATTACTTTCTTTGCTCTTGGGTTCTTTGCCTGCTTCTTGCCAGCTTTTGATGATACTATCTGATTTATTTCGTATAGTCTGAGACCATTTGTTACCGGATGTTCCAGAAAAAATAATGAGGCATTTACTTGGTGATCTTTCCTTTTTGAGCGCATAGTCCTGATGTGTTTATTAAACCCTCTGAGTGGGGCTTTTGAAGAATTTCAGCCCAAAAGGAAAGAATGAGACATGATCCAAAGAGCTTCCAAGGAAAGTGGAAAGAATCCACAGAGGCCAGAAAGCATTCAGGGGGAGTTGCAGTAGGTATTCTAGAATTCCTTGTGCTCATATGGCACTTTATTATAGTGTACACAACACTGTCCCCTGCATTATTAACCCTTTTATTGCCTCAAGGAAGCAGAAGGAGAGGGGAGGGCAAATCCAAAACCTGGCAGCTAATTGTATCTGATATAAGGGTTAACTTATCTATTGTGGACTTTTAAAATATCAGCTTTCTGTGACACACGGGATTCTCATTTGTCTAAGAACAGTCTTTTAGCTGACATTTCATGAGCTCTGATTTTTTTTTTCAAAGCCCTGACTGATGTTCCACTTCTGATGCTCCCAGAGGGGAACAGCATTAGAATAGGAGCCTGAGACAGAAAGAGAAGAAGCAATGGGAGATCCTGAGCCTGAATGGATCACTCACAAAGGCTTTATTTTTTAAGGAAATAAATAGAAATATTACTAAGGATAGGGTGCCCTACCTTCTCAAGGCCACTGACTATAATTCCCTCAGCGGAACAAAAAAAAAAAATAGTTTTAAGGATTACAAAAAAGGAAGAAGGCAGCCATTCCTAAAAGCAAATGTCCCATTCTCACTAAAGCAAATAAACCTTACTCTCAAAATAGAAAACCAAGTTTACAAATTTTTAAGAAAAGGGAACAAGGGAGAGTTGCTGCAGATAATAAAGTATATTCCTCCTCTGAAAATCATTTTAAGGAAAAAAAATCGAAAGGAAAGTATTCCCTATCTTCATCAAATCCCAAAATTTAAGGAATGAAAAAAGAGAAATCATATTAACCAAATGGTATTTCTAACTTTAAACATTTCATGGAATTTATAGACTTCACTCATACTGTATGGCCCAAGCCCAATCCTGAAAATTATGGGAGCAAAAATAAATTATCCAAATAACGCACCAAAGTTCCCTAATCTTGTGAGGATACTTTTAAAAATTCATGGAAAATAGAATAGAATTAA